ATTCTTTTCATCTCCCCTCTCTCATAAACTTTCCCTTTCAATTCAAGTCTTCAACTCCAAATCATGATTTCTTTTCCTCCAATTTTCTTCCTAATGTTATCTATTTTTAACTCTTTCTGGCCGGATGTCTTCTTGCTAAATCCCAACAGGGCAAACAACAGAGTTGGATCCCGAATCACTAAATAGTAAGGGTGCCTAGGATCGGGACTTAGATTTTTCAGCTTAAAATCGGGAGAAACAGAGGAGAATGCTATGCGTGCTGTTCAAGCTCGGACTTTTCCCACAAGTTGGCTTGCTTTCTCTCCTTTTTCATCTTCTTCAATGTTCTCTCTCCTTTCTCCTCTTCTCTGGAATAGTTGCCTGATAGTTGTAGGGTTTTTTCCTCCTTATCTAGTTGTGAAATCTGAAGCCTAAAACCTAATCTTACTTCAAGATATCAAGGAAATAGGTATGTTTTTGAAGTTAAGATGAAATTTCAGATTTTGATTTAATTTTGTCATGGTTTAGGGGATAATTTTTTTTATGGTATGGAACACGTTATTGCTAACCAATTAATTCGGATTCGACCTGGGTAAGATTCAATGAGTAGTAAAACTTTCTCTCAAGTTTGAATGAAACTGTATTCTCAGGATTTGAAATCACCAAGATTTGAAATCAATACATGGATAAACTGGAAGAATCCTGCCTACTGAAACTCATCCACCCGCCAGTGGTATGTTTTAGGGAATAATGACTAATGAGGAATCAGTGAATACCGAAGATCGAAAAAAAAAAAACCAAAAATTTCTGTATCCAAAACCGAAAAAATAGAGGAGTTTTCGGTGTCAGTTTCGGTCAGGAAAAAGGGAGACAAAAACTCGGTTAGTTAGATTTTGGTATCGGTTTTCACTGAAACCGGTATTTACCCACCCCTAAGTCCAATACTTTCTTTGGCTTCTATCCCACCAGAGACTCAAAGTGTTTTGATCTACTATTTAAACTGGGAATTCGAGCTTTTTGCAACTTGCCCCCGCTCCTAGGATCTATAGGAGACTGTTGAACATATGTTTTAGTCCTGTCACATTTCGGAAGCCACACTTGGCAACCTGCTCCCTGTTTTTTCAGCTCCACAGCAAGAAGTTTTAAACTTTGTGGATTGGTTGCATTTTAATATCAAATGTTCTGTTAAGACTAACATTTTAAATCTCCGCTAGAATACTTATTCTGTTTTGCTTTATAGGGGATATGGCTTCATAGGAACTAAAAAGTTTATGGGGATAATTCTTATCTATCTCAGCACCTTACCAAATGATTCGTGATAGAGTTGCTGAATTCTGGAGTACTATGCCCTTAATGGAGCATAGTTCGCACAGCATAGCCTTTCTTAAGTGGTCTAAGCCCCTTTATCCCCTTCAAAAATTGAATACTAATGGGTCTGCTGTAGGGAATCCTGGCTAGACTTCAGCTAGTGGCTCAGGGATGGTTGGGGAAACTGGGTATTGGGTTATACCAGAAAAATGGGTTGGTCATGTATTCTGGTGGCAGAATGACGGGCAATTAGGGATGGTCCTAGGCTGGCAGTTAATAGAAACATTTCTTATTTAATTGTGGAATCTGATTCGACTACTACTGTTTCTTTACTTTCCAAAGATCCCTCGATGTCCATCCTCTCAGCTCTCTCATTTTTTATTGCAGGGACTTATTGCAGCAAATACCTCACGCGAAGGTTGTTCATGCGATTTGTGAAGCTAATATGGCAGCGGATCCTATTGCAGAAATGAGGCACAATATTTTGAAGGATTTTTTTATTTTTTATTGTACTCCCAAGTTGCTAAATGTAGTTGTGTTGAGGATATTGTTGGGACTCAATTCTCTAGAACTCGTGGATGTAATTTCTGGTTAAGTAATGTTATTTTCTTTATTTATTACAAAATTAATAAGATTAAATTTGATAATTTTAAAAAAATTATAAATTATTTTTTTTAAAATGAAAAATTAAGATAATATCTAATTTTTATAACAAAAGCCAATGTCAATATTTATTATTAAAAGAAAGAAAAAAAAAAAAGAAAAAGAAAAGAGGAAGCATGAGAATCATTTGACTGGAAACAACCCTTAATCGCAGGGCTGTTACCGTCCAATGAGTGCATGACACTTTTCCCCTTAACAATTCTTAATTTTTAAGGATACCTTCCAAATATGAATTTAAAATGGCTAAAAGCATTCTTAAGCCCCTCAACTTTTCTAACAATAAATAATCAACCCCTGAACTAATAAAGGGGCAAATAAGCCCTCCAACTCTATGGTTGAAGCAAATTAGCCTTTCCACTTACTGGGCTTCGTAACGCTATTAGTTAATGGTTTGTTGGCATTGCATGCCTTTACATGTTTCTTTCTTGCCTTTACTTCATTTGTTTTAAGTGACTATATTTTTTAATTACTTAGTTAATATTATACAATTGTTTACACTTAAAATAAAAATTAATAGGGGAATGCCACATGTCAAATTGGGCCTAATCATTGGACAAATTTTTGCCATGTTAGCGGGCTTGCGTATTGATCTGGAGCAGACTTGCTATAAAATTCACAGTCCAAACAGAGGTGAATGGTGGGCTTGTGTCACATGGTAAGAGATAAAAGCATATTTCTTTAATTAATTGAGTTTTATTCAAATTAGAAAGTTAGGATGCATTTAGGAGAAGTTTACGTACGGTTTTGTTAGAGTTAGATGGTGAGTCAAACATCCATCCACCAGACATAAGAAAACTGCCATCAGACATATAGCGGCCAACTACCCGTACATTATGGGAAGAAGGCCAAAATTCATGGACGAACCACCCTAGCATCAAAGAAAAGGAAAACAGAGGAGAAAAATCAGTTTCCTTAGGCCTACCCCACTTGAAAATTGCCTAGCATGATGCAATTTTAGATTTTCAAATTTCATCAACCAATCTACTGCAAAGATTTATAGATTTCCAAATTAAAGTTCAAAGACCTATTCTTGTTCATAACCTTAGTTTGAATCTTCTATTTTTATTTGAGGTTTTCTTCAAATATTGCATCTTGTTGTTGATATTTGAGACTTTGGAAGTGAACAAACCTTGTTCCTCGGGTCTGCCCCATTAATTTGGTTAGTAATTTTCAATGGCTTCTACTCCATTATATGTTTATTTGATTGGGTTGAATGTTTGCTTCCTCCATGCCTTCGTTCATGTTGAAATTCATTGTCTTCAATTTTTTTTTTTTTTTTTAAGTATGAATTAGTTTGTAACTTGTCAGATCTTAGATTAATTAGCAATTAGATTGTATCAAGTTTAATTTAGCATTAGATCTTCAAGTAGTTTAATTGATTTTAGTTGACTCTGGAAGTGTTCTTAATTTTTGGAGTTTTTTCTGAAGTTGAATTTATGGAATTCTTCATGGTTTGTAGGATTTTAAGTATAGCCTCTAAGTTTGCCCAGTTATCTATTTTCAAATTTATCTTTATAGTATGTTGTTTCCATATTGTTTTTAGTTAATTATTTTGGGATATTGTATCTAGTATTAGTAACCTTTTTATACATCTTTGTAGTTTTAATGCCCTTAGAATTGTCCAAGGCTAGTAGTAACTCATTTTGCAAAACACCATCCTCTATTTTGCAATATCATTTGAGGCTTAGAACAATTCATAGATAAATGTCCTTTCTAGTTATCCTACTCAAAGTTCGACTGTTAGAAAGGAAAGGGCCATTGAAGAAATCATATTTTTTTTATTTTTAGACAAAATGAGTGGCATGCCCTAAATCTAGACTTACATGACAAAGCCAAAGATTTATGAGGAAAC